TTGGCAATACTACTTGATGGGTCATAAATTTACCATTTTCTCAGACCATAAACCTCTTGAAAAATTTCAATGTAAAAAAAAAGCCAGGACCCAGATTTGTTACCTATACTAAACTTTATATCAAACTTCGATTTTAACATAATATACAACCCCGGAAAGAATAATATAGAAGCAGATAGCCTTTCACGAAATCTGGTTTTAGAAAATAACAATAATAATGAATCTACTATTAAAACAGTAAACTTTGTATCGTTGGATGATGTAAAGAACAACCAAAAACAATTACACACTGAAAATGAAACGTTTCAAACTGAAAATAACATTTATTATAAAACTATGAATAATAAAAAAGAAAATCTGGATTACAGAGGATTTCGGTATAAACCTGATAAAAAAAAATCCACAGTAACAGCCACATAGGTGTGAAACAAATAACCCTAACTTTGACACCGACATATTATTTTAAAAACATCCACAAACATATAAAACTCGTATGTTGAACATGCGACACATGTATAAAAAATAAGTCAAGATTCGGAAATTTTATTCAACCCCTGTCTCAACTAGGTCCAGCTACGGAACCGTTTCAGATAGTATCTTTGGATACAATAGGAGGGTTCGGAGGTAATAGATCACCAAAAAGATACTTGCATTTAGTAATAGATCATTTCACTAAGTTTGCTTTCGCGCTAACATCAAAAACTCAAACGGCAAAAGATTTTATTAATTTAGTAAAAAAAAACAAAAATACAAAATTAAATTACTTTTAACAGACCAATATTCCGGTATAAACTCCAATCAATTCAAAAACTTTCTGAAATTCTAAAATAAAATACATATTTACAGCTGTGGATTGCCCTTTCTCAAACGGGCAAAACGAACGTACAAATCAGACTTTAGTTAACTCAATAAGGTGTAAAATTTCAGAAAATAGACACAGACCGTGGAGTATTATAACCGAGCAATGTATTGAAAATTATAATAACACTGTACATAGCACAACAAAATTTACACCTAGTTATCTTTTAAATGGTATTGATAATTCTTTTCTACCTCCTGAATTGAACAAAAACAACTTAGAAAACTTGACAGAAAACAGAGAAATAGCATTCTTAAATTCTAAGAAAATTCATGATCAAAACAAAATTTTGTATGACAAGAATAAAAGGCCTTTAATATATCAAGGGGGAGATTTGGTATATATTCAAAACACGAGTCGCTTAAATCGAAACAAGCTGGATCCAATTAGAGTGGGCCCTTTTAAAATAAAAAAAGAAAATTTCAAATCTATTACATATCGTAGATTCAGGTTTCAAAAAGAAGGAATCAAATATTTTCCACGCAAATAAAATGGTCCCTTACTGTCCTACTCCTGAATACTATCTTTCCTAAGAGGGGGCGGAATAGGGGGGATGTAGGTTTGACTTGAGTCAAACCAACGCAGCGCACGCGCCGGCATCGTGATATCGGAGGGGAGCGGGAAGACAGTGCGAGCGGCGCTGCCGACGACAGTACGCACGATATGTACTATAAGATTATAACCTCATAGCTCGCGCCTTTGAAACTGTGTAAACAAATAGTGATTGTACTTGTTGTTGATTCAGGTATTTAGCATTACATCGTCTTTGTAAACATATGTCTCCTGTATGTAACGTGTATTATTCATAAGTACTAATGTGTTTTGTGATTAAACTTGCAGTTATTACTCGCATCAACAGCCGTACTTATTGCCATATCCCACCTAAAGGAAAAAAAGTCGTGATTTCCGACTTACACATGCTTCTTGTTTGAAAGGTCAACGCTTCATTTCCTTTAATTTTGCCTCACAGGATTATCGATTCATTGAAATCTTGGCATAAAATAATTTAAAATCAAAAATCCAATAGTAACGTTTTTGGAATTGATTAAAACTACATTTACGGGTTTCATTGCGTTTAATTTTAATTATTTTTAATTCCTGACGTTTCGGGTGCTTTCCAGCACCCATGGTCACGTGGGACTGAGATGATTGACGTCCCGATGTCATTGTAAAAACCCGGAGTACCTTCTCAGCTTTTTTAATTATTGTTTATGGTATGATCTATGCAAAATGAACTGACTGTGTTTCGAAGTCTTGCAGTGGTATGCTTGGGTTTAGTTTTAATTTTATTGATTATAGGGTCCCAGGCAGGTGGTAGTACCCAGCCTCCTTCTCTATACTCACTATGTTTGGACAAGTTTGGAAGATTCACTCGATGAAATAAAACAGGGTTCGAGTCGCATCACTATGGTAGGAATAAAATAAAGTCTGCGATTATATATTTTTTGATGGTAGCAAAATTAAAAATTATTATATAGATATTTTTGAGGTTTGTTTACAAGACAATAAATATCCTCTCATCGATGCAAAAGTGTTTAAGGGAATATGGATATTATCATTCAGGTTTGCTTAATATTGATTTACACATATCGTATTTCCCTTTTTTTGGTGAAATTCGCAAATAAAACTGACGAGTTTTGGTTAATCTATATATGAGTATGTATGTAATACAAGAGACTATTAATTTCCACTTAGAATCTGTAAAAATCCACTATTAAGTATGTTGACTTATTGAATAAAACTATATTTACGGATTTTATTGCGTTTAATTATTTACTTTAACTTATTTTTAAATTCCCGACGTTTCGGGTGCTTTACAGCACCCATGGTCACAGGGGGATTAAAATGTTTGACATCCCAATGTCATAGTTAGCCCGACTACCTCCAGTTTTTTAATATTAAATTTCGGTCCAATCTACGCCAAACGAGCTTACAGTATCTTGAAGCCTTGCAGTGGTATGCTTAGGTTTAATTTTGTTAATTATAGAATCCCAAGCAGATGGCAGCACCTATCATTCTTCTCTTTTGAAATTAGGATGGTTTTTAATTTCAATAGCCTCACGTATCATCCTTGGTAGGAATCGGTGTTCTTTCGCAAGGATTTGTAGTCTATAAAATCTGATTTAAGGGTTGGGGCCGTCTAGGATATGATCACAAACTGCTTTTTTTGGAATGTTTGCAAAAACGTCCATTTCTGCGCTAACAAATATTTTGTAGTAAGGAAATGTAGAAAACTATTGCAAATAGACAATAAAAAAACTGAATTTATCCAGATTATAAAATTACGTCTATTCAGTAATGAAATTAGTGTTGGTAATTACGTGGACTTATTGCAGAGTTTATAAATTCCTTAATAATTTTATTAAAAACGAGAACGTTTCATCATACGCTAACCTTAATTATAACAATACAGATAGAAATATACAAGTGAAATTTAATACTACGTATACGCCATATGATGCAGGAGCTTATATAGAGTTGAATACACCTACATCCAATCTATATAATCATAATGTGTTGCCTACTTAGCTGAGTATTTACGAATCAAGGAATTCACAGTTAATGCTTTTGTACTATTTGATTATAGAATTTGATCTTTTATCAAAGTACCTTTAAATTTTTTATGACATTATTTCTTATGATTGCTCATTAATCCTACAAGAGGTAGAAGTTATTGAATGCAAACAGTAAAATCTTATTATTGATGCTGAATTATCTTTTTAAGCCACAAGGCACTCCTGTGTTTCCTGAGATGCATTTTTGTAGATGTAAAAGAACACAATTACAAATAAATGCATTTTGAGATTGTATATAATAAATATGTGAAAGAGCGTTAGATATGACTTATTATTTAAACAGACAAAATGAATATAATTATATTTATTTGATAACATATCCACATTAAAAATGTGGATCGTAGAATGCAGCTCCTGATCTTCTGCTCTTTTGAACCATCAGTAAAAATATCTGGTACCATCCTTTATTATTCTTAAACAATTCCCGTAGTAAGCTGTTTCCCAGTGTGTTATTTTCGCATTTCTAACCACCGCTAAATTGAAATTTATACCGTTATTAATATCAACGTTTTTAGTTCACGTATTTAAGTTAAAGATATTTAATTAATGGTAGAGCCATGCTGAAAGTTTTTTACACATGGTAGGGCCATCGTGCTACGTTTATATCAAAGCTGCAGGCTTTGATATAAACGTAGCACGAATATATCGGTTCGACAGGGAAGGACCACGCTCGCACAGAATACGTGGTGAGTGTACAGGATTGGAAATTGCGGCATTCCACATTAGTCCTCACGGATAGAAACGATTCCGGAATTTATTTTTTAATCGAAGATAGATGCAGATATCTATGGGCTACAGCCTCTACTTATCATCACGTGGACTGTGTGCTCGTTTATTACCCGTATTCTGTAAAAATAATCAATAATATCTTAATGATTATTGCAGCTTACATTTTCATCTTTGACTTCCTTATAAGTTTTCAATTACAACGGTAACTTTTCGTTTGCCCAATATCTATTACAATTAAGCTCATGAAACTCCAAAGACATGGTTATACCACCACATTCTTTTGAAAATCATTACATTTTTCTGATACATTACTGAGTTGGCTTTTACAAAACCCGCCTGACGTGTTACGTGACGTTTTAACAAAACCCACCGGATGAATTCTCATAAGCCGCATCACACGGCATTTTTTTAACTACGCATTATTTATATCACTCGATTTAAACGTGTTAAAAAGAACTGACTTAATTGTTATTGCCAAATTACTCTTACATCAATAAACATTTTTATGCAAAAACTTGTAATGATTACGTCATCATAACTTTTCGTTCCAACGCTTAAAATGCCAGAACAACGATTGATTAGGATTAAAAAGATAGAAATTCCATATTACTGATAAATTGCGCTTAAGATAATATCAGAATTTTTTCACTGTATAAATAGTTGGCGTTGAATTACTTAGGCTAGTTGTTGCGAAAAGGAAGGTAAGAGAACTCAATTAAATTTAAATTTCTTTTGCGAATTTTCGAAATTAATAACGTTATATTTCAAGTTCATATTTTAATTTTAAAATATTTAAATTAACTATATTTATTTGCTATTTTTAAGGCATCATCAAGATGAAAAGCATTGCTGTTGCCGTACTGATGCTGTTGGCCAGCGCCAACACATTACCTACCCTTAGTGAAGACGGTAAAGTATTTAGTCTTGTTTAAAGTATTTCTAATTAATAATTACCAGCTTGTGTAACAAGGTTTCAACTTACTATTCAGTAATCCTTGTGTTTGTGTTCGTGAAAACAATTTTCTGCATTCTTAAATTCCTTGGATAAATTGGGGTGTTATTCATCCACTGCAGTCTATCAAGTCCACTGCAGAACAAAGACCTCCCCCATAGACTGGCCTATAGGGAGGATTTTGTGATAGTTGCCACGCTTGCCAGGTGGTGTGAAGTCCTGGCTTTTTTAAACTATTTTCAGTTGTTATCAAGTTTCTTTTTCGCCGTATTACCTCTTAAAATACACACGGAATAATATGGAGAAATAGAGTATGTAGTATATGAGAGTAAATGTAGTTGTATGTATGGAAGTATAATATAAAATGTTAAAATGATATATTATTAAAAGCTATAATCTGAATTAATTTTTTTTATGTAAATCTATATATATTTTAAATTGAGAGTCTAGTGCCCAAATCTGAATGTTAAAAGAAAGAGTGTGGTGCCTTCACAGACGAACTCATCCAGAAAATGTGTTATTGCTTATTTATCAGATTGCCAGAAAAAAAAAACAACATATCGCTTAAAAATATAGTTTTATTAAAATAATGCTCACTTAGTCAAATTTTTTTTTAATAATATTTATTATAGAACTGAGGCAAGAGAGACTCATCACTGATGTGATCATAAACATTATTAAGGACTTCAGTCAGTCAATTGTAGATGCAGGTCTGGATCCTTTTGAAGTTGAAAACGCTCAAGGCCAGTTTGCTCTCTCTGAACCAGAGTAAGTAATAACTTATATTTTTGCTAATTAAATATAATTGATTTCGGAACCTAACATGGTGGTAGTAAAAAAACCTTGAATATTATTTATTTTCTTTTATATTACTATATTAACAGTGATCAACGTGATGGTAAGTGACTGATCCTCATGCACCACCTGATGGTCAGTGGTTAATGCATTCTCACTCTCATGGGCACATCCTACCGACATCACAAAAAGGGTGTGATATCACCAGAGGTGATATCATTTGTGCCTTACAAGTTATCTGTTAGAATACTTCGCGACGTGTTTTTATACGTAGTATAGCCACGCTGCAGCTATAATATGGTTGTAGCACGAATGGATTGGCTCGACCAAGGAAGGACCATGCTCTCACAGAATACCAGTGTAAAATAGCAGCTTAAGGTCGCAGAGTTTCACATGGTGAGTGTCCGGAACCCTTTTACTGGAAAAGAGGCATTCCATTTCATTCCTCAGGGATGATAACGCATCTGTATGTTGAAATACGCATCTGCATTTTGATTCTTCCTTAAGCCTATTCATTTTTATTTAATACCCATATCCTTTATTAAAACGAAACGATACACACAAATCTGTAAATGTATTGTAATTGTTGTTTATACGTAGTAGAGTTATGCTGCAAATATAAAGGTAGTATAGTTGTATCACGAATGGGTCAGCTCAACCTGGGGAAGGACCACGCTCTCATAAGTGTGCGGAACCCTTTTACTGGATAAAAGGAATTCCATTTTATTCCTCAGGGATGACAACGCATCTGTATTTTGAAGAACGCGAAGGCATTCTATCTTAGTCCTCACGAGTGACAACGCACCTCATTTTGATTCGTAATTGAGGAAAGATGTGTATTTCTATGGGCCACAGCATCAACTTACCACCAGGTGGACTGTGTGCTCGTTTGTCAACCTTATTCTATAAAAAATTTATATATATTGGCACTTCATACACTTCAAATAGGCATTCTAGGAGACTACTTTCTGTTTTTTTTGGGAACATATTTCATTCTGTACTAACAAAAAATGCTGTTAAATTACAACCTAATGCTACTAGTTTTGTTTTTCGTATACTGTTTCTTTTCGCAGCTTATTGCACGCGTCAATAGCGAAGCGTTGAGGTTATGCTCTACTCTCACCTAATGGATATCCAGTAATTTTTTGTCTTTATTTTTTTACTACTGCACCTTTAAAGTAATGAAAATACACATATATCGAGAATAATCACTTATTTTCATGTTTCAATTATTTTTAAAAGTAATTTTCTGCATTTAATGTAAAAACAAACTGATTGAAAAAACAATTTGAGGGTGCCCGGATGTCTGTATGTGTGGATGGCACACGATTACGGTCATTAGAACTAATGTTTCAAAATAATTCTTTTTTTATTATTAGCTTTACAATCTTAACGCAAAGGTTTCTTTTAAAAATCACTGAGTAATTTGGTCTTGTTTAATTGTAATTAATGAAAATGTAAAAAACAACCGGTACTTTTCTACAAAAAAATATTCTAATGGATCCTTTTTTCGTTTCAAATATGGAAAAAGAGATATTTTTCTTTTTATATAAAATAACATGAGATTACGAGGCACGCACTTTTGGATTTACCAAATAATATTTATAATATTGCTAATCAATTTCTTTTTCAGAGTTTTTAGTGCCGTTGCCCATGTTCAAGGCTTCTCTTTCAAAGGTCTCAGCAACATTGCAATCCACAACATGCAATTTTCTATTCTCGCAAGCCGGCTGACTTTCGATGTTTCCCTTCCTAAGCTTTCTCTCAGTGTTGGTAAGTATCAGATAAATTATTTATTATTTCTAGTAAATATAAATAGTCATTAAATATTGTCAGGGATGTACAATGGTCGTATAAAAGTTAAATATTACTTTTCATCGAATGAGTTAAGCAAATCTTCGGAAAGATTTCATGGACTCCTAAATATGGCCGAATAATTGCCTTATATATCCTCGCCATTTTATTAGTCTTTTAATTAATTAAACCACGGGCTTTCATACAATTCATTATGGCATAAATTACTTGATAGATGAGTTTGTACTCACCGACAGCACACCGTACACAGGTAGTTAGATTAGTGAGCGTAGAACTCTCGCACTTGTAATGTAAATTTTCACTGGCAGTTTGCGGGATCTGAGTTTGGAATTTTTTAAGTGGATATCGCTTGATAGATGACTTCTTTTAATTTTGAAAGAGCTCTAAATAATTCAAGAAAATATAAAGGCAATAGGATAGATCGTCTTTTGTCCGTTGCGGTCGTAAATTTCTTATAGATCTAAATAGTTCATTAGCAGGTTACACTGTCTAAAGGTAGAGTTGTCATTAAAGAAGAAGTTGTGTTGTCCCTCTTATATCCCGCCTCGTTGTATTTTTACGTATATACGATAGTCTAAATGGCTATATTACCATTTTAAATATCCAAATTACGATAATTTTAAAGTTAATTGATGCTAAGATTTTAAACGTGGAAAATATTTTGTCTAGAATTAGTTTGATGTTTTGTCTTGAAGTAGTTTTATGTTGTTTGATTCTAAATCTAACATTTTTTAATTCAATATATCTGTCTTCTTTAGGTGATTCCGGATTTGAAGTCATTTTACTAGGACGTGAACTCAACGGTCACGGTAGTGGCAGGTATGTCTTCTATTAATATTTTCTGGTAACTTTGGTTAAGACTTTAAAATTGTTGTTCATGTCCAAATTTGCTCCTTATGATATTTTACTAATTAAAAAAATAAAAAATTACCGTATTTTGTAGCAACTTGTGCGGGAGACCTATGTTCTTTAGTGAACTAGTTATGGGACTATAATTCATATAAGTGCATAGTGGAAAAAGAAAGGTCTCAGACTTCTAAGATTTTTTATAGAAAAGGGGACAAACGAGCATATGGCTCATCTGATGATAATTGACTACCGCTGCTCAAGAACAAGTGCAAGACCAAATAAATTGCAGGTTCATAGCCAGCCTTTCAGAGAGGAGTGAGCTTTTTCTTGAAGGTCTCTAAGTCGTATCGGTCCGGAAATTCGCCGGTGGTAAACTATTCCACTGAGAGATTGTAAGCGGTAGAAAACTCCTATTGAAACGTGCAGTGGTGGACCGCGAAGCATCCAAATTGTGTGAATGGTATCGGCAGTTTTACCACGATGAGCGTTCATGAAAGTTGGTGACTTGGATTATTCTGAACAATTCCTCAGAGCACTCTCCGTGGTAAATGCAAAGGGATGCAACATTAAAACAAGTCTCATGAGGACGCGAATCCGATGGTTCAATATAAAACATTTAAATATTTGTACTTGAAATAGTTACACTGTCGTTTTAAGATAGAAACTGACGTAGATGCATCTGCATCTTTTATTAGGATTTAGAATTTTTAAAAATATGATACAATCTAGACGTGAACTAATAGAAGAGATGGTATGAAAAAGATACGTTTTTTGTGTCTGGTCAAAGTGCAGCCTGAGTCTCAAGGGCCTTAAAAATTAGCCTATAATTAGTAGGGTGTGCGGACCCTACTAATTTCAATAACCCCAACATTCCTTAGGATAATGAAGCGACGATAATATATTAAACATTTATTTAATGATATATCCACATTGGAATACCGCTTTAACATAAACCACATCTTCTCAGTCTCGCGGTCAAGCGACAGCAAAGTCAGCATCTATTCCATAAAATATATATTGAAAAGAATGCGTTTTCATTTGCCACTATGCCATCGATATACCACGCATTCGAACCTAACTCTATGTTTTATTTATCGTTTCTGGTACTTATTGCAAAGAAATATAATTTTTTAGCATCGTCCATACTTTTATATCATGACCAACATGTCTTACAGTAAGGAAAGAAACAAATTAAGTTATACTAACAGGCTCGTTAATTTGCTTTGATATCATACGATTGGATATAATTGGTTTTATTAATTATATCTCTAAATAACCTATTGGCTTGTTATAAATTGAGAATAAAAGTCTCTTTTTAAGTAAAACTAGTGTACTTTGACATCATGACCGTCAGAGTCATCAGTCGAGTCAGTTGGGAGTTTAATCAATAAATGGCTTGCAGTAAGGTAATAAACGAAGTAAGTCGTACTTACACGCTCGTTAATTTGCTTTATCATCATTGATATACTTGGTTTTATAAATCAAATCCCTAAATAAACTATTAGCTTTAACAAAATTTTCTGATATCCCACTTTGTGAAATATGGCCACCTATTTATCGCTCATATCGCTAATGATGTTGATTAAGAACTTTGATTTGATATGTCCGAAAATAATATATTCCTTCCATATACACTTTCCTTAATAGTATTTAATTGAATGTTTTTGTAATAATCTTCAATATGTAAATAATAGTCTTGTAACAATTGTTTAGGAATAGAAAAAAAAAAACTTTTACGGAAACATAACAACTGCAAAATTAAGAAAAATCTCAAGGGTTGCCCATTATTTTATTTGTTTTTTATTTTTGGGAATCTTTTTGTTTCGAGTACTTTCTACCACTTTGGTCACGATAGAATGAGGCGCTTAATATGGGGGATATTAATAAATCCGCAATAAGGTTGTGAACAACAATATGGTACTTATATTCAAATAGAAATTGAAATTAGAAATATACTTAAAAATACGGTATCAAAAGCTAAATAATACATTATATAGTCATAGAGTACTCAAGCTTTTAAACTTTTCATTATTAATGACCGGTTTACGTCATTTTAGAAGGGATTAAATTAGTAGAAACGTGTATTCATTCGCTTTTAATGATTAATATTACTTGTTTTAGTACTTTTCTATGTAGGATACTCGCCTCTCTTCCTAAATGAAATTTGTGAAATGAAAAATATTCGCTTTTTGTACTATCCTAAATCTCGTATGAGATTGAATAAGATATGATAGTAACGATTTTTAATAAAACTTTGTGTTATGTATAAATTCATTTCTAATAGAAATAAAGATTTTTTTTGGCCCTTCACAAAGTCACTGCCCAACATAGACCTCGGTGAACTAATGTCGAAAAACACGGTCCTATACCGCTTGCCAGCCAAGGAGCTTGAAAAAGGTTTAGTAGTAAGGAAATAAGTTTTAAATAAAAAATGTTAATTCACGCGCTGAGAGTGTGCAAAGTGAACCTGATCGTGCTGCTCTAGTTTTTTTTTTCTTATGAGGGTGTTAAATTTAACGGTTAAGAACACTCTTTGTTCCATACGAAAAGACTGGAAGGAAAACTATTAAAATAAACATGCTATTAAAAATTTAATTAATACTTTTTACCCTACCTAACAGTTACCCTGGGTAAAGATTTTTAAGGTTATAATTCTGCTGCTTTTACATATTTCAAACAAGTGATTTATAATAAGTCCACCTGATGGTGATAGTGATTTAACCGAATATGATAAATATCGACAAAATGTGTGGGGACCGGATGAGCGTTTGGTTATCAGTGGATGGTTTCCAATAGAATTTGCAATTATATTTCACGATTGAAATGGAGTGATATTTGCATAGTTTACAAATGTAATCTATGTAACAGTGATCAATTATTCATATTTCTATCATTAGTATTAGAGATTTTCTAATAAATTAACAAACAGTAAGTGTCACCTTTCATATAGCTTGATGGTACAAAACTGGCATTTCAAACTTTCTACCCAAAGGATTCCGGTTCTAAAAGCTATATTGTATGAACGGTCCAATCCGACCTAGCATTTTTAGTTACATGAAAAAGTATATTTATTTATCGCTTCCTAAATCAACTGTTAATTACCTAGGGTAGGTATTCTTATTACTATTTTCGAGGGCACTTGATGTTCAAGTCGTCGACACACATGGAAGCTTCGCAGAGGGCTAATCGCTCTTATAAATCAAATCCCTCTCAGAAATTAGTGGAAAATAGAAAAACCTGGGTGGATATTTTAGACCTACTAAATTTAAGCAAATTTAAAAATGCATTTTATGGGATTACACATTAAATGATACGGGCTTACGATTATAATGAATAAAAAAATAATGTAACAAAAATTAAGTGACACGATAATTTTTTATTGCTTTATTAAATTTGAATTTAATACGATTTAATTTGTTTGTTTTGTAGTGTGGAGATTGACGAGCTCCGTCTCCGTGGTGAAGTCAGAGTGAACATAGGTGTCATTTCTGGAATCTCTGTTCGCAGCCTTGACTTGTGGTTCTCTATGAAAGGCATTAATGTATGTTTTATTTTTTACCATTTTCTTTTTTATCTTTTAATTAAATTTTTCTGAGTTCTTTAGTAAACTTACCACACAACCATTTTTAACGTTGACATATTTTTCAGTCTAACTTGCACCTGATCCTATTTGGTCGTGACATCTCTGAAAAATGCAACAACTACTTAAACAACACCCTTCCTAATGCCCTCAATGAAAACCAAGTGAGTATTTATTACTTTCTACACCTTTAATTTTTTTCTATTGTACAATATTGTCTTAATTTTCCCGAATACTTATAAATTACCAAAACATAACAATTGACATAATCGCCAAGTAAAAAAATATTTTCTAAAAACAATGTGGTATCTTTTCAGGCTGAAATCAACGAACTTCTTGAGTTCATCGTCTGGAAAATCATCGATAAACTTCTGTAAATTAATTATTAAAATGAAAACAAATGTTGTTTGTACAATATTTTATTAGTATAACAAAAACTTTCTACGACGACACTCGTTTTAATGAAATAAACGACTAACTTCCTGAAGCTTAATCATCATCATCACCATCATCATTACAGCCCTTCACAAGTCCACTGCTGAACATAGGCCTCCCCCAAGTAATGCCACAAAGCACGGTCCTGAGCCACCTGCATCCATCGACTTCCTGCATGTCTTACCAGGTCGTCACTCCATCTAGTGGGGGGTCGCCCTACACTACGCCTACCGGTACGAGGCTGCCACTCGAGAACCTTTCTTCCCCATCGGTTATCGGTTCTTCAAGCTATATGGCCGGCCCATTGCTACTTCAGCTTACTAATCCGTTGGGCTATGTCGGTCACTCTGGTTTTACTACGGATATTCTCATTTCTGAGTCTATCACGCAGTGAAACTCCGAGCCCTCTCCATAGCTCGCTGAGCGACTTTGAGCGTCCTCATACGGCCAGCAGTGAAGGACCACGTCTCAGATCCGTAAGTCATCACTGGCAACACGCACTGGTTATAAACTTTAGTTTTCAGAGATTGAGGTATACCTGACGAGAAGATGTGTCGTAATTTCCCGAACGCTGCCCAGCCGAGTTGAATCCGTCGATTGACCTCTCGGTCAAAGTTGGACTTACCTAGTCGGACTATTTGTCCCAGGTAAACATACTCGTCAACAACTTCGAGCATAGTGCTCCCAACAACTACCGGCATAGGTGTGACATGGACATTAAACATGATCTTTGTTTTGTCCATGTTCATCTTAAGACTTATCCGTTGGAAGACACCATTGAGGTCATTGAGCATAATGCTAAGGTCCTCCAGCAATTCGGCCATAAGGACTATATCGTCGGCAAATCGAAGTTGAGTAATGTACTCGCCATTGATGTTAATACAGTATCCTTTCCAGTCCAGTAGCTTGAAAACGTCTTCCAACGCTTAATCATTATTATTTAATATCCATATATTATTATTACTTATATTAAAAGGAAACGATACATTAAAAACATGTGATTGTGTTGTATTTGTAGTTAAAATATGTAAATGTAATTATTTTGCTGTGAACGTGTGGACGCACGCAAATTCGCGCGCACATATACACACATGCACGCACGCACGACGCACATACGGACGCATGTTGGATAGAAAAAAAAACCGTTAAATGACGGAGCCGCTAGTGGTTCCGTTCCTTAATTACCGTTTAATTGTGTACATATGTACGAAGTGAAACTTCGTAACGACATAATTATTATTATCATTCTTATTTTATTTTATTACTCATGCAGCCAGGCGGTGAAAGGTTTCAAGAATACGTGAAGTTTTTTTTTTTTTATTTTAATACCGTACTAAATTTTTATACTACATCAATAAAGAAGTTTCACCTTAATGGCATATATTACGCTACTGCCTTGCGTATGTGGACTATGAGAAAGCCTCTGATTACGTCGAAATTTGGGCGGTGCTACAGTCTCTTTCAACGCGGCGGTGTCGGTATATCGAAGTGCTGAAGTGTTTGTACAGAAGGGATACGATGTCTATCCGAGTAAAGTACCAGAGTATGAAACCTATCTAACTGCAGAAACCCATACAGATATATTTTCAAGCTACTGAACTGGAAAGGATACTGTAATAACATCAATGGCGTGTACGTCACTCACCTTAGATTTGCCAACGATGTAGTCCTTAAGGCAGAATCACAAGAGGACGTTAGTACTATGCTCGATGACCTCAATAGTGTCTCCCAACAGATTGGTCTTAAGATGGACATGGGAGAAACAAACATCATGTGTAACGTCTTTATCAAACATGTGCCGATAGTTGTTGGGAGCAATAAGCACGAAGGTTTTGACTAGTATGTTTGGCTGAGACAAATAGTCAAACTAGGTAAGCCCTACTTCCACTGAGAGATCAATTGACGGACTAAACTCGGCTGGGCAGGGTTCGGAAAGTTACAACACATCTTCTTGTCAGGTATACCTCAATAACTGAAAACTAGATTGTACAACCAGCACGTGTTGTCAGTGATGATTAATGGATCGAAGACGTGGTCCATTACTGCTGGCCGTATAAGGACGCTCAAGGTCGCTCGGAGAGCTTTGGAGAGGACTATTTTTTTTATATTCAGGCAAATTACACCAAAATTAAGCAATAAGTAAATCAATGTCAATACAAAATAACAATTTTAAAATAATAAATCTAGTCAATGTAAATAGGCAGTAATGTCAGTATATAAAATAATATATTGACATAAAATTAAAATTAATAAATAAATAACAGAATTACACACATTTATCAGTCAGGAGACGAGATCAATAATTAAAACTTTCTCTGAGGCAACTGTGCTGCAATAAATGAATTTAAAATCAATCTCCACAAGTATAGCAATACAATACATAAATCAATGTCAACAAAATAACAATTTTAAAATAATAAATCCAGTCAATTTCAATAAGCAGTAATGTCATTATATAAAATAATCTAATCAAATAAAATAGAGTTAATACATAAATAACAGAATTGAAACACACTTTTATCAGTCAGGAGACGAGATCAATCAAAACTTTCTCAGAGGCAACTGTTCTGCGACATGTCTGTCGCAGCAATGCTGGATAATATAACAGTCTAACCTTCCCGAGATCATCGCCAAGACAGTGTTGGAGCTGGCCCGCACTCTGCGCACCAGGGACGCGGCCCGCTTGCGCATGGTGGCATTGAAGCAATCGGTGCGCGCATCCGCGAACATACCAGAGGCACTACAAAATCGAGGCAGCCCCATCACCGCCCTAAACGCATTATTGTATTGGACGCGGAGGACGCTGTAACTCTTCCTACTGTAATTAGCCCATATGCTGCACGAGTAGAGCGATGTACAGAACGCTCGGAAGAGCGTAACCTTAACCTCCTTTGAACACCGCGCAAACCCACGAGCGATCATGTTAGCTCTGACAGACAGCGCCCTCCGTTCCCGATCCATATCCGACTATGCTTGGGGTTTCTCTGCGTGATTAATTAAGAAATGAAGATACCTCTCAAATGGAAATGCCAGCCATGTAGCTCGAACAACCGAAAAACGTTGGGTAAAATAGTTCTCGAGTGGCAATCTCGCACCAGTAAGCGAAGTGTACTGTTTCCCATACTAGAAGCAGTGACGACCTGGTAAGACATGCGTGAAGTCGATGGATGCAGATAGCTCTGGACCGTGCTTTGTAGCATTCCTTGGGGAAGGCCTTTGTTCAGCTGTGGGCTTGTAAATGGCTGTAATGATGATGATGATGAACATATATTCACGCCATTTTCGTATTTGTAAAGAAATAGGGTGACAAACGGGCACACAGATCACCCAATGATAAGTCGATATTGTGCTCTATGCTCAATTAAGGATCAAAATACAGATGCCTTGTCTGCTTCGCTGATTAAGATGGAATGTGTCTTTTCCAGTAAAACGGTCTTCGGTTCTTTACTATACTACCAAAAGAAACAATAGTATTAAGCTACTATTTACGCTGATATTCTGTAAAAGCATTCGTCACATTCGTGATTCAACTATCATTTAGCGGTAGCATTGCTCTAACACGTACACACATAACATTTATAACACTTATATTACTGATATTAGACATGTAACGGAAAAAGATTTTGTATTTCTAGCTGAAAACCGTTGCACAAGAGCTCAGACATCACAGACATCACTCACATAACAGACATCAGACAGAGGTGGACACGTTATTTATAGCCCGAAGAACTACCGATGGGGTAGAAAAATTCTTGAGTGATGGCCTTATGCTGGCAAGTGCAGCGTTGGGTGATCCCCATCCGCATGGAGTGATTAACACATGAAACATGTAGTAACACGATGGATACAGGGGGCTCAGAATTTCACTTTGATGCAATATATAAAATATATATATATATATATATATATATATATATATATATATATATATATATATATATATATATATATATATATATATATAATATATATAGATATATATACTTATATAAAATGAAATATTTTTAATTGTTCTACGTAAGAAAACACTGTCTAAAATGTCATTTGTGAAACATACAATATCTATTACCGTTTTGTCATTTATTAAAGTTGATATTACGTAGCATAGCATATACAGAAAGGAAAGCGTTAACTGGCCCATCGGTAGCCGAAATATTTATTTAATTATTCTTTGTTGGATTCCTTAAATCAAAAGAATGTAAATGATTGACTTAATTTCTTGAGGAATTCTCTACCAGTGAAAACATGAGGTCGTGTAAATTTGACGTTGGTGCAGCAATATAGAATAAAAACAAAATAAAAATGATTAACTACGTAATATATTATACTTTACTAATATATGAATAAATATACTATACAAATATCGCCTATACGTATACATATACAAAAATTCACATAATATACATATATAAATAGTATATACACATATATTACCATAAACATATACATCTGTTGACAATATAAATGACGTGGATGGTTCATGTAAGAAGCGATGTCTTTAATAGATTAGTAGAACCAAATTTTCAAATCAATCGTCGCATCATAATCGATCGCAGCATCGTTTCCGGGACACCTGAGATTTTGAGTGAGATTGAGAGGTTCTATGGGCAGCTGTACACATCATCGTTGGAGCCACACGCAAGTGTGAGTAACAATCCAAGAGCAAGTATTACCCGACACTATTCCGATGATATCCCGGACGTCAGTATGAGCGAGATTAGAATGGCTCTCCAGCACCTTAAAAACGGCAGGGCCCCAGGCGAGGACGGAATTACAGCGGAGCTTCTGAAAGCGGGTGGAACACCGGTACTTGAAGTCCTTCAGAAGCTCTTCAATTCCGTTCTCTATGGTGGCACTACTCCGGCGGCGTGGAGCAGAAGTGCGGTGGTATTGTTCTTTAAGAAAGGCGACCACGCTCTCTTGAAGAACTACAGACCGATTT